AAAAAAAACTTTTCCACGAAACATACTACCCTTGGAACTGGATCTCTCTGAAAACAAAATGAAATCTGTTTGGAGTTTTGCTATAATACTGGCGAAGATAGCCTCAATCTTCTCAATACCCTCGCAAATTGATCTGCTTTCAAACTGGTTACGAATGGGTGTTCTGAGGTAACGCTGCTCATGGCGAAAATTGAACTGAGATTTTTTTTTGCATTGAAAGGACAGTGAAGCGAACGGGACTCAAGGCTATTAAGAACTTGCACTCAATATACCCCTTCTTCGTTCCCCCCTCACTCCAGGTTGTCGACCTCCTTCACTCGGACTGTAAAGAACTTAATGTGACACCCTTCACCTAAGGAGATCCGTACCCGTCTCATAGCAGTTATGGTGCGTATTCCTATATCTATCACTTGCATTATTTAAAGTCGAGATGGTTACTATAAAAGGCAAATCTGTCATTCCTGAATAGGGAGGTTTATTGCAAAAAAAAAATGCATTGTTTCTTGTTATCTATCTAAGCTCAATCAGTTTTCCTTCCATTTCATCTCGCTTCCATATGCTTTCAAACGAGTGACTACTAGAACCCAGTTTTTTTAAAGCGAAGTATCGCACTTTTTTTATTTACCACTATCATTTATTTGTATGTTAGTTTTTCCTTGATAGAAATCTTAAAGCTAACACTCCCTCCTTAGTTCATTAAATAATTTTCATTATATTTCAACCAAGCAGAGTACTTGTGTTTTAATTCTTCATTTTTCTGGCTCTTTTCAACTCTCTATCTCTTTTAAGTTATCTTTTTTAGGTTGCCACACATTGAACTGAACATATCTGTCTCTGTTCATGAATATGTGGATTTTGTCATCATTCGTTTACAATGTGTTTACGCTCCTGACGCAGAGGATATATACTGTCATGATGCTCAACGTATGATGAGTGAAGGGCAGTGGTTGTGGCCATGCAGAGCTGTTGTTTTTCACAGAAAGAATGCTGCTTCAGTAAGTTGTGTCATAAATTATATACCTTAAGTTTCTCAATATTTTCGCCAAGTTCAGCTTCCTTTCTACTTTGGATATTCTTGTTTTCGTGTATTTGGCTTATCACAGTATCTGGTCAATGTTACGGTATCTCCTCAAAATTGTCGGTATGTTCTTGGTATTTGCTGTTGGCCATTTTTTGAAGAATAGTGCAATCAGTTCAACTCTTCTAATCACGTCACCGTCAGATGTTCAGTTGTATCCAGCTATCGCTGAGTATTATGCGAATGAGGTAGCAGTTCTCATCATACGGAAGGAAGATTCCTGCGTGTTCTATACTGCTATCTTAACATTCCAGGGTAATGCTGATCTAGAGCTGTCTCCTTTGCTCATTATTGATTTCAGTGATGAGGACGGGGTTTGGCTTCGTGTAGGAGGACCTGCTTCGCAAAAGTGTAATCGCTTCATTTTTCCTAATAAATCATATCTTCATTGCAGTTTTTCAGCTAGGGTTATTACTATCTCTATATTCGGACGTGATGATGGTGTTCTTCATCCACTGCATACTTTCAGTATCACTCATCCTGCTACTGGGTTAAAGGTAAGTCCAAGTGAATTGTAAGGATGAACTC